TTTCATTCCTGCTCTGTTCTACTGCCATATGTTGCTGTATCAATAAGATCAGTAACACAAATCTGATAGAGGTATGTAATGATAATTTTTCTTCATTCTACCAAGAAAAGAATCCCCAACTTCTAAGTTGAACTTCAGGACACCTTGTAGTCTTGTAGATGTGGCAGTAGATGTTACAATGTCAGTGTATTTATCTATATATAGCTCAAAGCACTGGCAAATGAACTGCTTCACAGGATGGAACTCTGCCTCTGAAGGTATTGGCCTTGTTGTCCACAACTTTTTCTCAATTTGCATTCACCAGAACTGGGTCTGATACCATTTGGCATAGTGTAAATCAGAGGAAATAACAAAAATTAATGCAAYTTTTGCACCACTGTAGCATCATGAYTGGACTCTCAAGARGAATGTCACTTCTTTTTKGATTTGTTGATTCACAGTTCTTTTGTTTGGTGTTTGGGTACAGTTAATTTTAGTACTTACCTTTTATTCCTCCTTCACTGCATATTAATTGCCCTTTTCTGTTACTCATCCTCTTCACTGTTCTTTTCRCTTGCACAATACCAGACTCTAAATCAAAGTGGACCATGTATTCTTCTCCAAGACTATTTTTTTAAACACTTGTCTAAAATAGTAGATCACTATAGTCAAATTTAAGTAGGTGACCTGAGTAGAGACTTCACTGAGTGGGACATAAATMCAACAATATATAAATACAGGCAAACAGTTTTAAATGATCTATTAAATCTTTTAAATTATCTTTTTTTTTAATCTGAAACTTTCTGAAGCTATAAAGGGAAGTATGTAGGAAGACAGCAAGAGTGAGCTCTGTATTTTGTCTTTCTGTTATTTATTTTTTTCAGAGAATGACATTAATAATTCATTACTACCAACTAAGGCAAATCTGATTTAGAAAGGACATACAACACAATAACTGGGGAGACAGGTTTGCTCAGCTGAAATYTAGTGAATAACAGTAGTATAATTAGAGTGAAAGGAGTCTTAGGGTGAAAATAAAAAGGACCTTTTCAGAGCTATTTTAAGATCTTAGGTCATGAGTTAGGTCATGAGCTTCTTAGCATTTGGTGTGGTATCTGAGTAGACCCTTGGATTATAGATCAGGGCAGGTGCAGAATGTGCTATAAATACTTCTGTCCTTAAGGAGTTCACTAACTTCTTCAGTGACAAACCAAACAAACATTAGTTCTGAAGAGGAAAATTATTAAAATTATGTAAAGCTTAATCGTCAAAAAAATCATCCAATAGTTCTTAATTACAAAGGCTAAACTGCTCTCCACAATTACCTAGGAAATGTTGCAGAAAACCTTTTAGATGGTTTACAGCATGTGTTGAGCATGACTGGCATGTTCTGGAGTATTTCTGTACTCATTTGCTGCCTACTGAGCTGTGCAGAGAACTGGCCATCAGGATTCCTACCTTCTATTTTAGGGTCTTCTCTTGCCTTATGGATGGAGGATAGATGTCCAATTTCCCCAGGGAAAAATTTGCTACTTTTATGCTTCTTCTAGAAATACTGTTCCTCAATTTCTTTAATGCGCTTGGAGATCCTTACAGGATTAAGTACACTGACTGCACTAGTAAAACCTGCCTAATTTCATYAGTATTGTTTCATTTGTTTTTCTAGGTGAATACAGATGTTTTCAATTGCCTATTTTTTGATAATGTCCTACACACATGTTGCTGGCTCTCTTTGTCCAAAATGAACATTCCTGTTTTACAAGAGCAGCAGAGGTCTCAGAGACCTCTTGAGAAATTTCTCTTTGAGAAATTGGTTTATATTTCATTTATATTTCATTTATATTTGCCACCCTGTGAGAGCGCACTCCACTCTTCAAATGACACATCAGGCCTATGAGTTCATTCTGACCTAATTTGAATCCTTTATAATAGTCTTTTAGGAGGGGTGTTTTATAGAACTGGCAGAACCAGTCATAGTATAAAGTTAAAGTGTCACTTCCTATATATTCCTTAAAAAAATTAAAATTAATTAGAAAAAAAAAACAAAAAAAAAAAACCCTAGGAGAAGTAGGAAAAGCAGCTCCAAGGGCATATTTCAAGTTTTTCCAAGTGATTGTGTCTACCTACTCTTTTGCCTGCTACCAGAGTCAACCCCTGTTGACCAACCCAATATATGCCCAAAGAGCAGATGCTCCTCAAGGCAAACTTCTGCCAATGTCAAGGGATAAGTGACATGACAGAAACATCATGATATAAACAGGCCTTAATCCGGGAAACTGTACTGCATTGTCAGCCTGAAGTGTGGCATCATCGGCTCATAGGAGGAGTTATGAATTTCAAAACCAGGTATCCTTTTGAGGTGCTTCGAGTTGACTTGTCTTGATTTTCTGAAGAGCCCGATTAAATTAACAGAATTCAAAATGAGTGCAGTAGGTACTCCCCAGAACACAGTGAAACTGCTGCTAGAGAGTTCCTGACCATTTGTAGATTGAGATGAGATGAGATGAGATGAGATGAGATGAGATGAGATGAGATGAGATGAGATGAGATGAGATGAGATGAGATGATGAGAGCCATTGTGGTGAAAAACAACAAAAGCTAAAGTAACATGAGAGAATTGCTATTATGTCGGAAAAACAAAGTTTGTGCTGCCTTCTTTTTTCAATATGTAAAAATCATTTGTATACAATCCATCTTCACATACCAATTAAAGACAGAGAGACTATTTCATTTCTAAGCCTATCTTTCTTAGCCAGCTGGAACAAAAATTTCCAGGTAATTAAAATTGTTAATGAAAGGTATAGTAAGCATGTTAACACATGTCTGTATTTTTCATATTCTCTCCAGGAGGAAGAGAAAAATTAAATCACCATCAGCCAGTTCAGCCCCATGGATACAAGGTCATCTTGCTATAAAGAAATCTATTAATTGGACATTTCCATGTAAGTAGAACCTCAATATTTTGTTTTTCTGAGGAGGTGATAGCATACTTCAGGTATTTAAAAAAAAAAAAAAAACTCTGAGTTTTTGCCCTTGTGCCTGTATCTCATACTTTCTCCTGTATCCTAGAGGCTCCCATATTGTGGCTAACATTCTTTTAGAAAAATAGAGCTGCATTATTTTAAGCATTATTTTAAGCCATTATTTTAAGAGCCTATCAGCACCACTCCCAAATTAGCCAGACAGGATACTGTTYGTTTAATTTCGCAAGACATTTGCTTTCCCCAAAGTGAGAAGAGCTACCTCAGTGAATTCCCAGCCATAATACTCTATGCTTTTTAAGGCATCTCTTGTGACAGAGGAGTAAGTTCCCCTGAACTCCTGTGACTAAATCTGCAAGCTTTTGCAATACTCTCTTGTATTGTGTTTAAAAACATTCTATGGCAATGCAAGGTTCTACTTAATGATTTTTACAATTTTTACTGTTATTGCTGTAGTACTTTGATTATTAAACCAATGCAGTGAGAAAGGACTGCAGTGRGAAATCATCTTTTCTTTAAGTAGAAGAGCTTCTGCTTTGACTGTGGAATTCTGCTAAGAGCAGTGCACAGGAATCCCAATGCCTAGCTGTGAGCCTCTCTGAATTTTGTATAGTTCATRGGTGAATTCAGAGTATGGCCTTTCTCAGGACCTGGGGAAGGTAACTGTTGGTTTTGCGGTGCTGCTTGTTGAAAMTCTGCAAGAGGTGGCCTCCAAGGCCTGCTTTGCAAATGCAGCCCTTACTGCCCTGGCAAGTACTATGGGCCAGAAGATATAGGACATTCCCTCCTTCTGCAGAGTAACATCAGTTCAGCTGGTCCAGTGACAGCACCAGGAAGGAATTTTCTGCTGCAAGTACTGAGTATAGACAAGAGGCTGCCYAATTTTCTCTTTGTGCAACCCAAATGCTGTGGGACTCGGGCACATCCCTATGCTTTCTACACTGTGCAAGGGAGTGTGTGTCCTGAGGACAGCGTGYTGTGTCTTGCTCACTCTGCTGAAGAGACTGAGAGACCCGCCAGAAGTGAATTAAATAGGTCTCCACTTAATTATATGTTATTTTGTTGATTGTCTCTCTGCTGCTGTCCCTCGCTGGCATTACAGAAGGGTGCAAGTCACCTCTGCAGCTAGTTTCCCTGCCCCAGCTCTTCCTGGGCTCCATCCCTCGCAGCTCTGGGTACCTCCAGCAGGGCATGGCCCCTGCAATGTTCCAGCTGAGGGGTGCAGTAGGTCTCGCCYGCCTTCTCAGTTCGCAGGCAGTACCGGGCACGTCTCCCTGCAGGGCCGGGAGCCCCGGCCAGGTACTGCAGAGGAGAGCGGGGCGCTTGGGAAGCACTGGCAGCCGCTGGCCCCTCTGCTCTGTCCCGACACTGCCCTGGGGGTCAGGGTCACCCCTCAGCCCCTTCCCCTCGGTGTGGCTCTCCCTGCCCTGCCCGCAGCCCTGCCCGAATCTCGCTGCACAGTCTGCGCTTGGTGCTCGGCGCTACGCGGGCCGGCCCAGCGCCCCGCCGGCCGCGATCGCTGCAGCCGGGCTGTTGAGCAGAGGTGCCCCCTCCTCCTCTCCTCCTGTTCCTGCCGGGGGAAGGTCTCAGAACGCATTCATTCCGTACGTGCATGCGGTTAACCCCTTACTGCCCGTCTTGCAGCCCCGCAGCCGCCTGATGGGATCGGCTCCTGCCGTGGGACAGATTGATTTCCACGGCTGGGGACGGCTCCAGCACGGGGTTGGTGYCACCCACACGCCCTGCCCGCTGCGAGCAGCCTTGGCGCCCGTATCCTCCGCTCCCCGCGCTCCGGCTTGCTGCGTTGTTGAGTTTTTTTCCCTCCCAGGAGTAGCAGCGAAATGTCCCGTCCTGCCTATTTGGAAATGGGAACAAATTGCTCCCCCGCCTTACCTCGCCCATCGCATCCCATATATAGTCATATCTACGGTCAAATGGCAGGCGGCAGCGAATGGGAAGGCTGTGCCTCCCAAAAAAACCCGGGGGGCAGTGAGAGAGGTAAAGGGGTAGGGACGATCGGAGGAGGGAGGAGAAAAAAAAAAAAAAAAAGCCTTTTCCAAAAAAGTATTGGATGTCTTGAGGAATGCAGTCAGCCCCCTGGGAAAGTACATATCTGTGAGTCGCTCCCTGGCCGCCGCTTGCACTCGGCTGGCGCCCCGTCCCGCACGGATCAGTCCCGCCGCCCGGCAGCTCCGCTCCGCTCCCCCGGGGGCCGCGCCTGCGTCCGGACTCCAGGCTGTCCCGCAGCTTTTCAAGTTTTTCTTTCGGGAGCAGTTCGCGCGGGGACGCGCCCTAGCACACCGCCACCATGGATGCCATCAAGAAGAAGATGCAGATGCTGAAGCTGGACAAGGAGAACGCCTTGGACAGAGCCGAGCAAGCCGAAGCGGACAAGAAGGCAGCGGAGGAGAGAAGCAAGCAGGTCTGCACTAAGGGCCCGGGCACAGCCAGCGCCGGGGCGCAAGTCTTTCCAGAGGACTCCTCTTTTTTTTTTTTTTTTTTCCCTCCCCCCCTCTTTTTCCCCCGTCGCTGTACCTCGTTGTATTCCACCCCCGCGCCCCTGCAGAACTGGTTGAACTTTCCCTAAGGCAGAGCTTCAGCCTGGCAGCCGCCGGCTGGAGGTTCCCGGGGGTGCGGCAGGGGGTCCTTCCCCTGTCCCCACCATTTCASATGGGGAGCAGGGCCCTGGGTCAGCCGCGTGGCCTCTGTGCCTTTGTCATAGGGGCATGGCTTAGAGAAGCTGCCTGGAGCACCTAGTCAACAGATGTGCTGTGATTTGGCAAAGGACAGTAAAAGCTGTGTTTATCCAGCATCACTCAGCAGATCTGTCCAATTCCAGCTGCCCCCCCCCCCCCCCCCCCCCCCCCCCCCCCCTTCTCCGGATGCATGCCCCATTTTTTTGTCCTTCTCCAAACCTCTCCTTTTACACCTGGGGTTTTATTCGATTCGGGGAGGAGGACACGTTGTTTGCTCGTTCCTGGGAGATCCTGGAGGAGGAGGGAGGAAGGAGAGGGATTTATAAATTAATTTCCCACTTTTCTAAGCCCAGGGAGAAACTTGTTTGTGTGTTATATTTCCTCTTGTGCACCTAGTTAGAGGATGACATTGTGCAATTGGAAAAGCAATTGCGTGTGACGGAGGATACAAGGGACCAAGTGCTGGAAGAGCTACACAAGTCTGAGGACAGCCTCCTCTCCGCAGAGGAGAATGCTGCCAAGGTATTGTGCCCTTGCCACAAGCAAAGAGGATCTAACTGTCTCTTCTCTCTCTCTCTCTGTCCGTCTGTCCTTTTCTGTCTCTTCTGCACTTGCACGTCTTCCTTTGCACGATCACGCTGCCTGCTGCACCTTTTCCGTCCCGCCCTTCCCTCTCCACCACTCCACCCGAATCACAGCTGGAGGACGAGCTGGTGGCTCTACAAAAGAAGCTGAAGGCCACTGAGGATGAGCTGGACAAATATTCCGAGTCCCTAAAAGATGCACAGGAAAAGTTGGAACTGGCTGACAAAAAGGCCACAGATGTAAGTTACCCCCATCCCTTTCACCACAAGCCCAAATGAGAAACCACAAACACCCTCTGCTCAGGACAGCCTGGRCTCCTGCCCAGCAGCACTCCAAAGCTTTGCTGATGGCAGGGTCCAGGCACCTCCTGGGCAGGAAGGTGGGAAACACAGCACTGCCTCCTTGCATGAGGTTTGCACACTATCAGAGGCATTTGATTGGGTTTCTGCTCACTTGACATGTGCTTTTCATGTGTATTTGCCACTYTAGATGTGAAAGTAAAGAAATGGTGGTTTATCTGTTCAGGTGCTGGGTTAAACAGCTCAGGCTGGAACAACACTGTGTTGACAGTGAAACAGAATCAGGGAGTTACTAGCAAGTAGGTGCAGGAGAGGGAGATCCAGAAGAGCAAGGGCTGCTAGTTCTGTCTTCAAGAGAGCTGTTCCTTGGCATGCATGTGTTAGAACTGTGGCTAGATACTAGTTTGGCTCACTGGTCCCCAAGATAAAAGGTCCTCTCCAACTTTCTCTTTTTTTTTTTCCTTGGAAATAGTGGAACTGCTTCACTTGTCAAAGAAAAGTTCAGTCTTGTGTGACAGAAAATTGTCCGGAAGATGATACTTGCTAGCTTTGCAGTTCAGAGGACAGGGATCTTGGGAGCAAGCTGGGAGATATATATAGCTCAGCACTTTATATGGTAATAAGGCAAGAGCTTGTGCCTCTCCCAGGCCCTCATCCCACCCACCTGTCTGTCCCTGACATGCATTTAATGCATTGCATGCATGGAACCATGAGTGTGATATCTCTGCAGTTAAGGTCCTGGTCTCTCTTGCTGCTGTTTGACAATTCAATTCTCCCTGAGGTCTGAATTACAGGATTTGGTGAAATACTGTATTTCCAAAGCAATGACCCTCCTTTTCCTATAGCTCATCTTTAAGAGKCAACCTCAAAGCTATAATGAAAAGGAATTGTCACAAATGAAGCAAGCAAAGTATTTCAGGGGGAGGAAGGATACTTTCGGGAAAGGGAGATGTCAGAAACAACAACTTTGTATGAAAGACAACATGCTTTTATCTTACTTTAATTATAAAAGGAAGAAAGGATAAAAAAAAGTTTAGCTTTGTTATAGCAATTAAGTTATATGGCTTTGAAAGAGAACCCAAGAACTTAACCAGAAGTGTGCAAAGGAACAGGGGAGAGGGTTCTGTGTATAATATGGATCAGATGTCTACTCTGTGCCTGGCTGCCATAGGAGAGGCAGCTTCCTAGCAGGACGTTTATTTAGTTTGTTCAAAGGAACCGTATACAGATCCAGAGGAGATATTCCTTATATGGAAAAGTATGCAGACTATTTGGAAATAGCTTGCCTAGGATGAAGGCAGGAGAAATGCTACTAGATTCCCATTTTGAAACTAAGGATCTTCCTAACTGATCCCCATGCCATGTTGCCCTGCTGGAAAACAGCGTTTGGAAGCTAGTTGAAGGCAATTTTATTTGCAGTCTTCCCTCAGGTGGAGGGTGGGAGAGTGTCTGGCTTGTTTTCACCTAGGTAAATGCCATATTTATTTGTATGCATGGAATATGTCTGACATTTTAGGGACATAGTTCTTTTTTGGCAGGGCAGGTATCTTTGGGGCGTTGCAGTTGAGCCAGTATTTATTTGCCTTATTAGTTTGGATAGTTCCAAGCCTTAGGAAAAAGGCACAGGCAGGGAGAGGGAGTGTCGGCTCGCTGGGATGGACTCGTCTTACACTTGGATGAGGAAATCTTACCTCTCCGGTGTGACTCATCTCCCAAAACCCAGACACATCCCCGGACCAGCCCACCTGGGAGGGGGCCGCTGCAGCCCCTTCTCCCCTCCCCGTGTCTCATAGGAGCCAGGCCGAAKGCAGCGACATCTGGAGGGTTGTTGGGTGTCACTTTATTAGGCTCGTATGGGGGCGGTTTGTGGAGAGAGAGGTGGCTCTGGCCCCGGCTCCGGTCCTGTCCGGTGCGGCACTGTCCTGTCCGGTCCGCGGGACCCCGCSCTGTGCCGCCAGGCGGCGCTGCTGCCCCAGCACATCCCCTGGGCACGGGCTCTGCCGGCCGCACCGGACCGGACCGGCCCAACCCCGGCCGGACCTGGCCATCTCCAGCCGGACCGGCCATCCCGGGCCAAGATCGGCCCGTTCCCTGCCACCACCGGCCCATCCCGGGCCAGGACCGGCCCATCCCCGRCCCATCCCCAGCCACKACCGGCCGATTCCCCGGCAGGACCAGCCCATCCTCAGGACGGCTGGACCGTCCTCCGTGCCCGCCCCGCTCGCAGCCCGGTGCCGGCAGCCCCGCCCCGGAGCGCTGCGGCGCGGGGGGACTTCCGGGGCTGCGGCGGGCGGAGGGAGGCGGCGCGGGCAGGGCGAGGCGCGGGCATGGCGGCGATGAGCTCGCTCGAGGCCGTGCGCAGGAAGATCCGCAGCCTGCAGGARCAGGCGGACGCCGCCGAGGAGCGGGCGGGACAGCTGCAGCGGGAGGTGGACCAGGAGCGGGCGCTGCGGGAGGAGGTACGGCAGCCCCTCAGCCCGGCTTGGGCCCACGGCCCGGGGGAGGGGGCGGGGGGCGCCGGGTGTGGGTCCCGGGGCGCGGCCGCCCCGCGTTGCGGGCCGTCCCGGCTAGCCCGGCCGCTTCCTTGGCCGCCGTGTCCGATGAGCTGGTTCGTTAGCTCGCGGCCGGGCTGGCGCGGGGCTCGGCCCGCAGCGCTGCGCTCCCCGGCTCCGTAACCCGAGTGCTGCGTGGGGCGGGCCCAGGTGCGGTGCGCAGGGAGACTGCACCAGGTGTGCTGGCCAACAGCGAAACCCCGCTTGGAATCAGGTTGGATTTAGGCAAAATCTTTGAGAGTACGAGTTTTGTATTAGGCTCTGAGCAAGCTTTTATGATTTTTTTCCTCACAAGTCCTAGTTCTTTTACTCCATCCAGACGAGTTCGTCTGTGGGAAGTCAGCATGGCGACCCTTGGGAAGTACGTAAGGCTGAACCTGAGATCGCCCATTGTCCCTGACAACACCTCAGCAATGTGAGCTTGCAGCCCCAATGGCTGTWCATATGTAGTGTGTGGTGTTCACCAAGGCTGCTTGCCAAGAGCGGAAAGGACCACTAGGCTTGGTTTTAGGCAAGAGGCAAGATCAGGTGTGAGTAGCACAGGCTTACGTAGCAGAGAGGTGTAATTGTGGGTAGCAATCACAATGAAAAAACTGATAGGGCTGGTGTTTGTCTTGCCACTGACCTTTGGGACTTCCAGCAGCTGTAACTTAATGTTTCCTGCTATAAAATGTACAGTGTTCCTTGAGGCAGTTTTCCTGTCTTCAGTGGTTGTACAAAAGCAAAAGAACAAATTTCTTGTATAGTTTATTACAGTAGGAAAAAATGGCAATTATTTTATTTCCTTACAATACAGCCCTTTCTGCACTTGATTCTAGGCATCAAGTTCGAAGGAAGGGCTTCCTGATTACCTGCAGGTGATCTTTCCTATGGATTGAAATATAGATACTTGTGCTTGTATTACTGCATTCTTGCAGATCACTTGGCATATCCGTTTTTTTTCAGTGAAGGGCCATAAGTAATTAACTTACTTCATAAGGGTTTCTGTTTTTTAAAAAACTTGTTTTCTAAGCTTTGTAGAGTAAAGGACACCAGTATTCTTACTTTCAGTAACCTGTATTTTTCTAAAAACATATTATTAATATATTCTATATTAAGGGATTTCTGTTGAAAGGGGAAGCTTTGCTCTTACCTTTTGTGACAGAAGGAATAGTGCTGGAGAAGCGATTACAGCTTTCTGGTRAAGTCTTCCCCTAAGAGCTCAGCTACATTACAACAAAGCTTAGGAGCCTGAAGGTCAATGTTTGTTTCTTCCCTGGAGTCGATTTATGCAGATGATATGGAATTCTGCAGACTGCGTTTACACAKTATTTACGTTGTTCTGTGGAGGGGTCAGTGCTGGGGTGAATAAATGCAGAAAACTGAACTCCCAGGTACATGTAGACGTGTGCTTTTTCTACAGTGCTGGCTATGTATGAGAATTTTTATTGTTGCAGCTGTATTTTTAAATGCTTGAGGAGGGAGGCTTTCAGAGCGCTTCAGCAAGTGAGCTGAGGTGTGAATCTGCCCCTTRCCTCAGTGTAATGCCTTACATTTATAGCATGTGACCAGCTGGGGTTGTTATGTTGGGGTTTTTTTTCTTCCTGTGCAAGGTACAAATATGCAAACAATGGAAAAGCTACAGCTGTGACCAACACATAGCACAGCCTCCAGCTTTTGATTGTTAAACCAGATTGTTAGAAGTTTCAAGGCTGTGATTAGCAGCCATTCCCTTCAAAAAGAATTTTCTGTTTGGAGTACCTGTATCTCAAGGGGCTGTTGGTAATTTTAAAATGYATTTTTCTTACTCCTTCTGGAAAACAGAATCTCCCTTATAATAATAATAATTAACACCTAATGGAAACTTATCCATGTCATCCATCGCTCATTGTAAAAATATGTGGTGTATAAGTGTTATGGCAGAAACACAGGGTTATGTTTGCCTGGTAGCTGTGGGAGTGCCCCGAATGTCACTGGGGTTTTTTCCTTCCTTGCCATATAAGGAGAGAAGTCCTGCTCTGCAGAAGAATAACTTGGGCCATATAAGGCTGGTTGGTAAATCCTTAGTGAGTTACTGGAGCAGGAAGTGAAAACTTGAACTTTAGTCACCCTGTGTTTTTGAAGCACGTTTTATGCTCTTATCATGATGAGGGGTCTTGACATGATAATAATTAACTTGTAACATTATAAATTTCYCTAGGGTTGCTTCTGTGAAAGGGTATTTTCTTTCTTGAATCTGAAAGTTCAAATTCCTACTGTTTTAAAGCCAGAAGTCAGAAAATACAGGTTTGGAATACTACTGCATGATTACATAGCTAAATATTTTATATTTGCATTAATGTGGATCTCTAAGGATGAAGTCTCTCCTCCCTCTGGTTCTGTGTGTTCCCTGCCAATGCATATTAATGTTTAAAGATAAAATTGCTTCCCTGCTTGTGTGTTACTCTCAGTTATTCTAGCAGGATATCATTACTTTTATGTCAGAGRTTGTTTACTTCTCTGGCCTGTAAGTTATTCTTGTGTTATGTACAGCAAAAATCTTTGCTGCAGCCCATTGTATCCAGTTACCTCTGGTTAGAAAAGAAAAAGTATCAAGCTGCTACTTTYGGTATCTGTTTTTGCCAGAGGGTTGGTTAACCCCTCAACTAGACATCATAGGAAATTCAGATGTGTACTTCCTCATACATAGTATATATATCTCTGTATATCTCATATATGTTAGTTTTCAGTGCTAATTAAGAGTGTTATTCTCTGAAGTGTTTTACTTTTTAGAATAATTACCTTTTTATATATATTTTGTGCTTAATGTGGTTTTGAAAGAAAGTAAGTTTAATAATGAGGTTATCACAAGAAGGCTGTTGTAGAACTGACTCTGCAGCTTGAACAAGTGTAGGTTTGAGGCTGTCAGAAGAGCTTGTAAAGATAAGAGGCAGATGAGTTGCAAGCGCTATGCAGAAGGTTAAGAGAACAGGTAATTCAAGAGAGGCAAATTTAGGGGAAGTTTGGGGATGGTACTATGGGAGAAAAAAAAAAAGTTTTAAGGTATTCCTGCCTTGGCAGGGTCCTTGCTGGTGCCTTTTTTATCAACTCTTACACAGCTTGCCTGTAAGCAAAACTTCTGGATGTTTGGGCACTTCTTAAATGTTGTCATGCTCTCTCTTGTTAGCTGTCTCATTGCAAATGCTGATCCAGRTGTGTTTTTACATGTTTACTCTGAACCCTTCTTATGGAACTGAAGGGAAATGTCTTAAAAAATTGGTGAAAGGTCATAAAGGAGTTAGGGTAACAGAAGAATTGAGTAGTTTGTGTTGATTTGATTTGATTTGATTTGATTTGGTTTTAAAAAGGGGAGGTGTCTGTAATTAATGTCTGCAAATACAATAACAGAAAATATTTGAGCAATGGTGTATAATTCTTCCCATGCCATTCTTTGTAGTACAAATTGTACAGTGCTTGATGTGCTTCATTGAAAGGAAGCATTAATCACTTTTTCCCTTTGTTAAGTTATAACCTCACAATTCAATCACGTACATCTCTGTGTATGGACTTAGTGGATGAAGTCAAAAATTGTTGAAGTTCTGTTACATGGCACTGACAGGTAATGGGATAACCTTTCACCAGAGAAGATGTTTGTGTTCCTATGAATTAATTTCTGTTCTTCCTGTGCTCAGGCTGAGAGCGAAGTAGCTTCTCTGAACAGACGCATCCAGCTGGTTGAGGAGGAGTTGGATCGGGCTCAGGAGCGCTTGGCTACTGCCCTGCAGAAGCTGGAGGAAGCTGAGAAAGCTGCAGATGAGAGCGAAAGGTGGGTGGGGCCACGCCTGAACAGATCGTTACCCTTATGACAAAGATCATAATTGCCAGGGTGTGGGTTAGGGAAATAAATGAAACCACTCCTGTGTCTCTGAGCATGTGTAATCTCCTCTTCCTTTGTGTACATGGACTTCAGTTACAGCTTGTCTGTAGACATGTCCAAAATATTTAGGCTTGGATTCTTTTCAGTTGTGAAGATGAGGTTTAAGTGTGGTAGGTCTTTTGATGTATTATGTCACATCCTGCTTGGCCCAGGCCAGACTTCTCTAATTGGATAACAACTATTTGAGGTACTCTTGTGCTGTTTCATTGTGGGTAGAAAATCTCACCTGGAGAATAGCAAAGTGTTGGAAGAGGCTTTGCTTCTCCTGTTGGCAGGATTGGTACATGAAGGTGTAGCAAAGGAAAGAGAATGATAATTCCTTCAGATTCCCAGAAGTCCATAATGTAAGTTAGGAACTCAAGATTTGTGACTTCGGAAGATCTCTCTTCTACCAATTGTATTTTATAACTGTGTAGAACCTTTTATTGTGAAAGAAACCCACACATTCTGCACGTGTATTTCTATGTTACTAAAGATGCAGTCTGTTGGAAAGAAATGTGTCAGAGACTCACAGTGTGTTTTGAAACATTTAAGATCATTTTGGGTCAGACATATGCAAAACACAGTGTTTCTTGTTATAAAGGAGTTAAATTTTCTTATGCAGAGCATAGCGAGCTTTTAGGGTTCTGACATGGCAACACCCAGGAGAGTCTGGCCCCTAAACATGATTCTTGTCAGTCCTGCAAGGGTTTTAACATGGTGTTGATGAGTGTAAAAGCACAGATGTTTTCAGTCTTCTTATTAGGTCTTTAGAAGCAGCACCCTTTATTTGCCTTTTTCTGCAACTTAAAATGAAAAAGAACTGTACAGCTGAACTACAGTAAGAGCTAAACAAATCACACTTTTTCTTCCTTCCTTCCTAAGATATGTTTCATTCCTTGAACTTCTGAAGTGTGAGTGCACAGAACTAAATCTATGGTGTGAACACTCAGCTGTCTGATGTGCTTCATTCACCTGAATACAACTCTCTGCAAGTCACATACCACAAATAGTAGAGCTGGAGATAAACTGGCAAGCTCTGAACCTTGCATTTCCTGTTTTTCACGTTTTTCAGAGGAATGAAGGTCATTGAAAATAGAGCCCAGAARGATGAAGAGAAGATGGAAATCCAGGAGATCCAGCTTAAAGAGGCTAAGCACATTGCTGAAGAGGCTGACCGCAAGTATGAAGAGGTCAGTTCTTGAGCACAGGTCATCTCCTTCCAAAGCCCATTAGGCTGTGCCTGTAATTTTGTTTCTCTGCTTTGCCTTTTAAGCACAAAAGATGACAAACACCACTCTTCACAGCTGTGGAAAGAAAACTAGGCATCCAGATACCTCAGGGGACAAGGTGGCAGGACATTGGTGCTTAGATCTTTGCACTAAAATGTTTGAGAGTATTTCCTAAGCTCTTACGGAGGAAAATACATTTAAGCTGCCTTTTGGTAAAGGAAAGAGGCATCTTGAAAGATATCAGATAGCTAAGTAATGAACAATGAAGAAGTCACGTAATCAAAACTCATATGTTGACCTAAAAATGAAAAAAGGCCCAGTCCCCTGCTCTGTAGGTTCTTGATAAAAGTGATGTATGCTGCAGCAATGTAATATCCCTGACTGTCCCTTGCCTGTCCTTGTAGGTGGCTCGTAAGCTGGTGATCATTGAGAGTGACCTGGAGCGCGCTGAGGAGCGTGCTGAGCTATCAGAAAGGTAAGTGTGGAGCTGCCCTGAGGTGTATCTGAGGTGCTAGAAGAGAGCTGTAAGTGCATGAAATGTTGGCAGCACACTGTRTGTTCAGCTCAAAGCTATGTTTTGCTCATTTACTGTAAATGTTGAAATAAATGGTCAGCACCAAAGTAAATGTGTTCCCGTGTGTGCGCGTGTGTTTTGTCACTGCATGCTGTACCTGCACACTGATTTTGTGAATGGCTTTTGTGCATTTCATGTGTTCACTAACAGCCAAGTCCGACAGCTGGAAGAACAGTTAAGAATAATGGATCAAAACTTGAAAGCATTAATGGCTGCAGAGGATAAGGTACTGATACTAATAAACAGTTTTTAGGTTTAACTGCAACCCAAGTCTTTCAGCTTCCRTAGCTAGTTAGCTCACTCAGTAGTAACACATAAGTCCTTGCTATGCTCTTTACTCTCTTTGCATCTTGCTTTGGTGGTTTTCTTTGGTCTCTTTTTTTATTTATTTATTCATTTTTACCTTTAAAACTGATCTCCTGTGCAGCCAAAAGAAGCTGAACTGTCTCACATGTAMAAGCTCTGTAAATATTTCTGTGTAAGCCAAGAGCTGTAGATGAATTTCTGTCTGGTCATTGTCTTAATGTGCACTTGAAATGATATTTGGCATCACAAAGAGTTGCTTTCAATCTGTGATGGATCAGCTGCTTTTGAGGCTGTCCTTTTGCCCTGTAATTGTTTTCATTTTTCTCTRTCTTTTCCCCCTATTTTCTCCTGTTTCTTTTGCTTGACTGAATCTTCCATCCGCCCCTTTCCTGCCTTCCCTCCGAAATAACAGCAAATGTGCTGAGCTTGAAGAGGAGTTGAAAACTGTGACCAACAACCTGAAGTCGCTGGAGGCTCAGGCTGAGAAGGTAGGCTAGAGACTTATGTGAGAATGTGTCCCTTACRTTGTCATCTGGCCTGTGGGGTTTTCTTTGTATGCTGATCACTGCAGCATTTCAGCAAGGCTCTTGTCACTGGAGGCAGTTGGATTTTCTACTCAATTCATATTTAGCTCTGATTGGAACATAGCATATCTCTTTGTTCCAAATAGGTCAGGATTATTTGGCCRCATGTTCTGATGAGTACTCTGACAGGATTAAGTAATCCTTCAGAATGTTCCTCAACACGGCATTGTGTACTAACACTAAATTTCTCCAAAGGACTTCATTCTTTAAAACTGTAGTACTAATTTSTTCTCAAAGTTCCCACCATGTTGCACTGGAATATAACTCAAGGGAAGTTTTATTCTTGTAACAAACCCTGTTACCACAGTCTTGCAAGTGGAATTGATTTAGTTTCACCTATATTAATTTCTTGTGTACACATGATCTATTACAAGAATTTCGAATGTGGGGGTTTTTAGTATATTTAGAATACTCATCTAATATCAGTGATCCTCTTTCTTATTACAGTACTCACAGAAAGAAGACAAATATGAAGAGGAGATTAAAGTCCTGACTGACAAACTGAAGGAGGTAAAATTAGAGCTGTTCTTTGCAATGTATCTTCCAAAATGCACCTTTGATTCTTGTAACATAAATACTATTTTGATGCTGTAAGGATGAACATGCCACTTTGGGAACAGTTTAATGTTAAATGTCTCCCCTAGAAATTGGTTTATACTAGCCTGATTATTTGCCTACTCATGTTGTACTTTTTTCCTCATTTGAATTATTGCTCCTCTGTTCCTAAGTACTCTGTGTGTGTTTGCTAAAGTAGTCTGTGTTTGTCCTGACCTCAGGCTGAGACCCGTGCTGAGTTTGCTGAGAGGTCAGTAACCAAGCTGGAGAAGAGCATTGATGACCTAGAAGGTATGGGGCTTTGTTTTTCTACTTACTGTGGAAATATATATCTCGTATTCTTCTCTTGTGTGGGGGTTTTTGTTGCAATTTTTTCAATACCCAATTCTACTGGACAGTCTTCTCCCACTTAYATAAATGGGTCTGCCTAAAGAGTAAAGTAGACAAAACATTTTCCAAATGAAATGTATTGGTAACTTAAATGCTTCTGGTGAACAGTGTTTTGCTCTTGCCTGTTTCTTTTTCTCTCATGTTCTTAAGACTCCTTTCATTTTTTGGTTTATAAAATCTTCTGCTTGGAGTATATAAATGTATATATAAATGATCAGATGACAAGTGTTATTATCATCTCAGTAAAAAGCTGATGAAGAGCTGCATTATGTTTGCAATCATTAGGAATGTAGCAATCTAACTTAATTTATTCCTGGGATAAGTATGGGTCAGGTCAAGCATTTTGTATCCTAGACCAGTTGCTAGGTTTTGGCAAAGCTAATACATTGTATACATAATCAGAAGTATAGCTTGCTACTTCAAAGAGTTTGTTTTAAGGTTTTGATAAATCTCTTAGAACTGCAGCAGAGTAGTGGAATGTGCTTTTTGCCTTTGGAGAAAATAATTCAGTAGGACTTTGTAATTAGAAGTTATATGGATTTCACCATTCAGATGCATTACACTGAGTCTAGGATTTTAAGCAGCTTAAATTGCTTGGTGTGGCAGGCTGGATTCTGTATGAAGGCTATGACATGCCTGAGTAGGTGCTGAAAATGTATGATCCCTGACTCAGGAAGGAAGAGAAGGAAGATAAGTGTTCAGAATGAACGAAAATTGCTGTAAGAAACTGGGTTTAAGACATCACAAAACCCCAAGTGGTATTAAAAAAAAAAAAAAAAGGTGGTAGAAAATGGTAACAACCTCCTTGAGGCTTATTTTTTGGATCTTCCCTCCCTAGCTCCTGTGTGCCCTCCTAATATGCATTAAAACAAAAATCCAGGGCAATGAAACATGGATTTTTGCTTCTTTTGTAGTCTTTCTTTTCTTGGTTTTCTTTGTAATGCAGGTTGTCCCACTGGCAGTGCAGTTAATGAACTTGTTGCACAGAACTGTTCACTATTTTCTTCCTTTTATCCTTYTCTAATTTTGTTTCCTTTTGTCTGTCACAACACTTCTTTCTGTGCGCTCTTCTCATTTCCTACGGCTTCTGGATGATATCCCATGCCACCACCTTCACCTTCCATCCCATGATTCACTCCATTTCCTTGCACACCTCTGCCTCACCTGGGGGAACATTAGATGAGCTCTATGCTCAGAAACTGAAGTACAAAGCCATCAGTGAGGAGCTGGACCACGCTCTCAATGATATGACTTCCATGTAAATGTCTTCCCAGCTTGTGCCTGCTGCTGCTTCCCTGCCCTCACTGATTGCGCGGTACCACTCCCTGGGTAGTGGGAGATGCTTTCCTTTAGAGACAATAGGTGTACAAAATACCATGAACAATTGCTTTACCGTGGCAAAGTGTGGGTGAGTGTTGTGCCAAGCCTGGTAAATACTCATGGTGATTTTGTAAGCTTGTGGTTACATGTCTGTTCTGTGTTTGCAATCCTTTTATCTTGTGGTTGCCCGATGTGTGCAGCTCCATGCTTATCCTTTCAGTTCACCTCTGTTCAGCCATTATCTCCCAGGCCCATCATATTCATTTTATGAATTTTTTTCATTCATTTTATCAATTTTGAAAGAAAATTGTCTTGGTGCATGTTGCTTTCAGATTGTATTCCTTTGACTTCCGTCACAGTTTTTGCTCTGGCAAAGTTCTTACAAAAATGTCAAAGAAATCTAGATTTAGCTGTATTTTGTATTAATTACAGTAGAAAGTGTTTATCTGAATTTCCATAACTGCTCTGAAAATTTCAGCTGTTATCACTAAATTACAAGTGTGGAAATGGTTTTAAAACAACACTGTCATTTAAGCTGATAATTGAATTGTAGGTTGCTTCTGCATATGTTCCAGATAGCAGTCATAATTTCACTTGCATGCACCGAAAATGGGGTAATATCACCTTTAGTCATAAGGAGAAAAATAAAGAGTGGCAGGAAGGCAGGAGAGTCACCAGCTGTGAGGTGTGACTTGTTTGTGCTGTGTTTGACACAAACTGACTTCCCCCACGGACTCTGAACAGAGGTCAGCTGTGCTCCCTCCACCTTCCCATGTTCAAACTCTTCATTGCATGAACGCTGTGCAGCTGGCCCAGGAGAGGGGAAGAGCCTGGGCTCTCAAGTGCTTAGGAGGTGCGATATTTAGTCCCAGCATTCCCTTTTGGAAGCCCTGGCATGCTTTCAATAAGKCATAAGGTTTGCTCAGAGCTTGAGACATATTTTGTGTGCACCCATGTTTTAAATAGTTTTTTCTTCATGTTTCTTTTGTCCCCAGGTCTGCTCATTACTTTCTTCCCTTTGTCTACCAACATTTTAGTAGAGATCTAATGTTGCCTGTTCTGTATGCTTTGATTTTTTTATTTTTAAATTCCCTCCCAACATATGGTTTTACTCAGTGGCTTATCAAGCAGATAGATTTCTTTTTCCTCCTCTGTGTGCAGAGATGACAGTATTTCTTTAATTTGGGATATTTCTGCCTGGRAAACAGACTTGAAATTGTACTCTGCTGGTACATGAGGACATGACTGTAGGATTCTAGTCCCAGCATGGTGTGCTGTTTGTCTAGCATAGTCATCTCAGCATGCTGGGCTCTGCTGTGCCATTGCAGCTTTTTTGGAAGTCTTTACTGCACCTTTTTTTTTATTTTCTACCTTACCTCACTTTTTCTTTTCATGCAGATAATTTTCTTTGCTTCACTTCTCCAAAGACATCTTCATCGGGTTGGATAAAACATCTTTCCAAGCTTTGGATGTTTCATGGGTTCATTGTCCTGTCTTCTAGCTTAGTTGACTCTTCTTCTATCACCTGTCTCAGAACATGCTCTCTTTGTGCTCTGCTGTACAGAAACTACATTTCTCAATGTAAAATAAATATCCCAGCTGTATCCCTTTTGCTATTCCTTTGCCTTTTATTTATTTCAGTAAGTATTTAAGTTATTAATAAAATCTGCGCTTCTTTGCCATTAGGGATTTCATTTTCTGGTGTTTTCATTTTTTAGCTGAAAACACTTTTGGCTGAATGTTGACAATGCCAAGCCAGTGAGTGCAGTGTGTGGGATAGTGTGTCAACTGACCAGTTGTTATCTTAGTTTTTCATAAACGCTGCTGCAGACAAAATGACAAATAGATGTATAGGAGTTAGTTTTCCCAGTTGTTATTGTTAGGACAAAATTTGCAAGGACACTGCTTCCTTGGGGTCACTTGGTCGTGGGAGCATGGCTAAGAGAGCAGTTACATCCTTGATGTAACCAGATTTTTCACTTTAAAGCCTGCAGTCTTTTCCTAGCTTGATGCTGAAGACTTCTTATCTTTATTTAAATGTATTTGTTCATTAACTCATATATATGAGACCGATTTAAAGAGGCAGCATCAAAAACATTAAATTCTTTTTTTCACCCAAAAATAATCCTTGAAATGTCTTGAAAAAGGTTTTCCTTCTTTCATGCCTTAGTTTTCAGCAAAGATATTGCTTGCTCACATTTTGGGATTTTTACAATACAGTTTTCTTCAGTGGCATGATAGAATTGGAAGTTCTTCGGGGAGGTTTCAGTTGCTTTCCACTTGTGCATCGTTCAGGATTGTGAATTTGAATTGCAGACTCATGAGAAATGTTTCAAAACTGGAGTGGAGATTTCTCATTATGATACTATTAATGAAATTATTCTGCTCCAAGTGGAACATAATGGATTTCAAGTCTGAAAGCCTGAAGAGCTTTCAGCTGATTTGTCAGTGTCTAATTATGGATGAAGCATTAAATACTAAAATCTTGTGCTTTTTTGTATTATTTGCAGCTAGGGAGTTTACTGCCTTTTTTAGCTTTATTTACATCACAGTAAAGTTAGAAGTTATTTCTAGTTCAGATTAAAGTGAATCAGTTTAAACTGAATTGATTCGTGGTGATGCTTCCTAGTTGGTTTCACTCTGTATATTGCTAAAGTTCTTAAGTCACCAAAGCTAAATAAATTCATTATATCACAGCTGAAGTGTAGTTTTTAACCCGTAGAATGATGTAAACRTCTCTTTCTTGTTCAGCTTTGGGATTATTCAGCAGTGCAATCTAAACTAGACTTTCTCCCCTCCTCAAAACTTGTTTTTTAAATAAGGCTTGCCAATGGATGCATTGCCTTCCTGGCCTGCCATCCTTGCATAACTTTGGCATATYCTGGTTTTCTAGCCTAGGACATATCCTAATGCTGCTGGCTGTGGGGAGAAGCCCCAGTGCAGGATTTAKATCAGCCATCACTGATAGTTCAAGTAATAAAGTTCAGTAATCTGCTACTRCTCAGATGACAAACAGTAAATGGTGTATTGCACCTGAAAAGCAATAGGCTGTGTCTGAAGGGCAACCAAATAGAATGGGATATATAAAAATTAACCAAATATAATGGAATCAGCATTTGTGAAATGACTATGAGGCTAAGGTTAACTTCACAAATGCAAGTTAGGGGGAATGTGGTCAACTGGCACTTGTCTGCTGAGCCAGAGTAAAATACGCTACAGCAACTCCAGCTTCTGGTGTTTCTTAAAAGTAAACAGAAAAGCAAAATCCATTGTAGGAACCTATCCATTTTTAACTCAGTGATTTTAAACACCAGTATCAAAAATTTGCCTTTTGTGTCAGTCATCCACAATCAGCTCTCTGCACTGGAGGGTGACAGAATGCTGGATGGAGTCCTGGAAATGGGCAGTGCAGTGCAGATCCCCAGGTGTCTGCATACAGAATTCCTGGCTGGTGCTGCTGCGCTGATCTTCACTCCAGGGAGCTGTTGTGGTTTCCCACTGCAGCATGGTTCAGCGCTCTTGTCACCCTCAGTGGTGACACTGCCTCCCGTGTCTGGCTGGTTGCTTGCCTGAGGCTTCTCCCAGCATGTGCAGGGCTGGCTCTGGGCTTTGCTGGCTCTGCAGCAGAGCCAGAACTTCCTGCTGGGCTGCTGGGGCTCCTGCAGAGCCRGGCTCTGCTCTGGAGGAAAGGGACAGCCGGCCCAGGGGGATCAAGGGCTCGGTGTTCACTGGGGAAGTGCTCTCCCTGCTTTGCAGGGGGGTTTAGTCATTTGGGAAGTCAGGAAATGCTGTAAATTTCTGCCTCAGTTAAAGGTTAGATTTCTCTGATGTTGGTAAGTGTAAGTTCACGTTGTCCTTTCTAAACAACAACTTTATACACTTTGCCAGACGGAGTGAAATTTTAGTTACTCCACGGTTTTGATGGGKTTTTTTTCCCCCACAAATGTGGGACATTACCCTGATGTACGATAGGCAAGATCCATTTATTCCTAGTGCAGGATCAGAGCTGTGAGATGTGCCCTGGCTTTACTGAGCTGGCTGTGGGAGTTTGGGCTGGGGAGGAAGCTGGGAGGAGTTGCTCACCACACAAGCATGTCCTGCAGACCAACTCACTGCACAGCTTTGCCTTTGCTGAGTCCAGTGCCTGCAGGGAAAGAGGATTCCTGTGGAAGCTGTTAGGCAGCTTGTGGAAAAGAATCAGAAACAGTCATTTCCTGTAGGGGAATAATCTGGGATCAAGAGGTCAGGGGTAGGGGTGTACTTGGGCTATTGAGAAGAATATGGACAATTTGAGAGCACTAAATAGTCAAAAGCCATCGTGGGACATTCTTTCACTCTGCAGTGCAATTTTCACTAAATGTGCTCTCATAACGTGGCTGTTGTGCTGTCCTCTCTGTTTTTGAGCAAGGTGTTCATCCTTTCTTTTCATTTTCACCAACTGTGAGTCTGTTTTCTTACGAAGTAAAKCTTGGCAATGTAACAGTATCAAAATAACTTGATTCCAGTAACACAAGTATATTTTCCTACCAAAAATAACATTTCAGCCATTAAATTCCCTAGGAAAGGAGTGTGGGCTGAGTCAGACYCGGTGGTAGTTGCCTACTCGCATCTCTCCTGCTGTTACTTATRTTGGCTGTGGTGCAGTTGGTTTCACTCCACTGACAGATGAGGTACCACCACACCTTAAATAGTTTGAAAAGAAAAACGGCAATCATAAAATAAACCTTCCACACGTTGTACAGAAGACTAAAGCAGGACTTGCTACTTCTAGGAATATAGCTGCAGTTCTTCCATTTCTATTCCAGTTTGTGTCTCACAGCTGTTCCCCACAGCAGGATTCTTAGCCAGTTCTTCATATGRTACAGTAGCTGTTCCTTGGAGTAGCTATTTAATTGCTAGAGTTCTAGAAACAGAGGTAAAATGTTTCTCTGTATGTTACTGAACTGTCTGTCATGTGACCGGTTTCTTTATTAACTCTTATTTAACTGTTTTCTCTGTCTAATCTGTCTTCATTCTGCCTCTTTTTTTCTCTTCTAACCTGCTTGCTGCCTGTACAGACCAACTCTACCAGCAACTTGAGCAAAACAGTCGCCTAACTAATGAACTAAAGCTGGCATTGAATGAGGATTAAACTTTAGTGTGACTTACTGTTAAATTTTTCAAAACCTTTTTCCAAATTTCCTTTAAGAATGAATCAGTAAATGTACAAATAAGCAAGAAGCATAGAAATCAGTATTTTTTTGAGCTGTTGATTCTGTGGTAAATTAATGGATAAAATTCTYAGTTTCTCTTGGGAAAATACGAAAATGCTTCTTCTGGATGAGGCTTTTCAAGATGTGTCTGCACATCTATTTTGGAGAGCACTGAGCTCTTTGGCTGTGCAGTAGCTTCCTTCCACTTAAGTAAACAGCTACAGCATTTTGCTAACAGTATCGAAAAAGTAACAACCTGCCTTGCACAAAGGCATTCGGTTTATCCAACATCATCAATTGGTGTTAAGATTTTTACTATGGTGAGAGAAAAATATTCACCAGGATTYATATTTCTGTATTTCAAAACCAACTTAAAGGATACTTGAAGCTGTTTTGTATGGACACTTTGATGTGATWATTTTGCCTTACTATGAATTGGGCTTGTTTTRACATTAAAAAAACAAACAAACAAACAAAAAGAATGGGAGCTCCATCTGACAATACCCGATCAGTTTAAAGGTATGCTTGCAGTAGTATGAAGTTGCTATTACTGGATCTTGTAGGGTGCACCACCAGAATATYATGCTCATTTATTGTATCAAATACGTGTGTTAAATGACTGTCTTMTAAAAGTGTGCATGCAACATAAAGCTACTAACTTTGAGTTTATTTATTTTCTACAAGAGATAAATTTCTTAAAGGTTACTTCACTGAAAATTATAATAGTTTTATTTTTTTTTTGTTGTTTGTGTTTCTGGGATCTATGAAACTTTTAACTATGTATCTGCAAAGAAATTATTTATTTTCATTATTGCCTATTTTAAAAAAAAAGCCATTTACTATCTCACATTCCTATAAGCAAAGAGCTTCCAGARCATTGTGTCTCTGTTGGCAGTGCATTTGCTTAACAAATGCAKCTGTAAACAGTTCTAAACTTGAATTATTTGCTGTTTGTTTTATTAATTTGGAATTCTCACTAGTTGTGTTACTGGGTAACATTGGTATTTATGAGCATGCACATTTCTTAACTTTCTAAACCCTCTGAGAGCAATGATAATTGCATGCCTTCATGTTCTGAGAATCAGTGCCTCCAAAGAACTGCTATTCATRTTTTAATTTTCTAATCCCACAACAGAGAAAGTGGCGCATGCCAAAGAAGAAAACCTTAGTATGCATCAGATGCTGGATCAAACTTTACTGGAGTTAAACAACATGTGAAAACCTTCTTAGCAGCAACCACACTATTTGTTTTATTATTTTTACACCTGCTTGCCGTGAAGCCCCATAAACATGTCTTTATTTTAGTTTCACCACAGTCACAAGAACATCTGCTAARTTATCGAGCAGGGGTCAGGGAAACACCAAAATGGGCAAGCCATATGCGGGTTAAGCTACATTACATTATGGTTTAAATGTGCCATTTCCCAACAAAAATGTTACCTACACTCTGTAGAGAGTTCAACAATTCAGTATGCTTAGTCTTTGAAGAATCCTGGCCGTGGCAGAAAGTGTCCCACCTCAAGTGCCAACTACAGTTTTTACACAAGAAGAATGATTGGTGATTAAGAGAGATCAGGCAGCAATGGTGCTATTTTGAACAAAAGGTTCTACTTGAAGTCTTTTGTTTGATATCAGACAAGGCGGGAGTTGTCCAGCTCAGTAATTTATTTTTATCAGAATTTTAGTGATCTGTGAGAATTTGGACTTTCTGTGCCTCCTAATTCAGTAAAACGAAGGCATGTAAGACAAGTGAAGGCTTCTAAAGGTTTTAAATTGTCTTTTTGCAACTCAATACAGAAGTGTAGGTCAGCATTTCACCTTGAGTATTCATTCGATTGTATTTTTCATGTTGAAATGAAAGATTCAATAAATTCAGGACAAAACATTAATTTGGAAGAGATTGTTTTAAAATGTATTTTATTTGTGGGGACTTGGGGTAGGGGAGGAATTTTTAAACCGATATTCGCCTCACTTTTTTCACACTTTCTTTGAGCAGTCTTAAAAGTATACCTGTATGTAAACATTGTATAATGATATGAAATAAAATGCACATTTTAGGACATTTTTTAAATTTTGTTCTCCTGTGGTTTGTTTTTCATCCCATCAGTTTCCTGTGCATCCCTGTGTAAACTCTACACGTGTGCAATGTCTCTCATTGTGATCCACTTAACATACTGGCTTTCATTCTGTGTTGATGGCCAGTGGATAGAAATGCAGTGGTTTGCACAGATGTGGATCTGCAGCTGCTCAGAGGCCCCTTTTGAGGGCCAAATTGCAGGAGCCTGTCCCTGTCACTTGACTGCATGCCCAGCTGGGTGCAGCATGCAGTTATCCCCTGGCACATGATGGAGCTTTCCAGAAGCACTCATTATTGATCAAAGCTGTTTTGGGTAAAACCAATGGGGAAACTCCCATTGATCTCTTTGGGAAAAGAGTCCTAAAGGCCATGCTCTTGGAAACACTGCCATCTATTTGTATATCTTACATGGTAATATGTGTTAATTTACTTCAGTACACTGRTAAACCCTTTGAAGTCATGTGCCAYGTTCATAAGAGATCCTTTCACTCAACTTTTCACTACTGGTTGCTTATTTCTACGTATGTATGTACCTTTATTTGATATTTGTCAGTGGGCAACTTAAAGACTTGAAAATAATTTTTATTCCTTCTTTTTCTGTAGTGCATTGCTGCAAGTTGATGCTGTCCATCCGTATAGCAGCAAGAGCTTGGTAGGAGACAGGTTCAGATAATCTTCCAGATAATCAAAGAATTTCCACTWGGTGACCCTTAGCAAGCTACTGAAAGCAGGTGACTTTATCAGCCACTGGTGGAAGCTGGTGAAAGGGTAAAGTAATGCATAATAATTTCAGGTGAAGTGAGAGTCAGAGAGTGAAGATGCACTCTTAAAAGTGGCATTTTTTTGATTGTGTTTTAAAGGGAGGAACTTGGTAAAATTACAAGCTTTTGTGTGATTTATTGCTTGCTGCCAAGTCATCCCGAATGCAAAGGATGAAATCCCTGGCTTCATGTTTCTTTTGTAAGTGTTTTTGGGGAGAAAAATAYATGTTCCAAGGCTCATGGAAGGCCTTAGCTCATACTGGAGGCTGAGAGATAAAGCTCTAAACACATTGTACAGAGTTAAGCTACTCTAATCCCTCGCTGCTTCCTTGCTTTGCACAAGGATRCASTGGCAGGTAGTYGRGCTCTAAGAGTCCAAGTCCCCCTGTACACGTGGCTTCCACTGGTGCTGCTGGAGCCAGGAGGGCTTCCCATGAGGAARTGCTGTGCTGGGGATTGTTTGTAGAGAAAGGCCCAAGGCCACCCAGAGAGTCTGCAGGAGCAGAACAGAGGAGTTGTTGGCACTGAGCCATGAGTCTTACACAGCTGAGTGTGCTGCCAGCACCACTGGACTGCTGTTCTGGTCCCCTGCTATGTGCTTGAGTCCTAAACAATGTGTCTGAGTGAGGTCAGAAACTTTGTTTGCTGCTTAAAATTGCTTTCCAGGAGACCACAAACTGCTCTGTGGTTTGGGAAATTGAGTTCARCTCTCACTGTGTGTAAGGGTAAAGGAGGCTGTGGTTTTCATGTCTTTCAATGATATCATGTCACCATTAATAGGGCAAGCATGTGCAAGCAAGGAGATAAGAATTAATCTGAAAAAAATCTGTTTGCAAAGTAGACTTCCCCAAAGTGCACTGTTGCAGATGAATCCATAAAGCTTCAGAACAGGTAAATAAAAGCTTTCTAGTTTCACTCACTGAGTGGRGCAGTGAACATGATGATGAATCACACCAAGTGGCTTTTTTGCTGACTAGCAACAGATCAATACACATAAGGGTGTATTTGCCAGAGCTGGAAAATCTGTTTCTGCCATAYCTCATAACCCACTATGCCTTATGGTTTCTTTGCATGCAGTGTCTAATCAGACAAAACTCAGTGAACCTACAAAGCATTGRCTTGTAAAAATAAATTGAGCCCTGATTTAACCCCATTCCAGCAAATTTGCAGCTACTTTGCTGTATTAACTCTAAAATTAARTCACAGAACCCTGCA